TTGATCATAAAAAATATGAATACCTTTTCTATGAGTCAACTTGCAATCATATCATGTTTTTCTTGGCACAAATCAGTGTTGTATCTAGATTTTCTCTTCTGAAGAGATAATTTAAAAGCTTAGAAAGTTGAACATCTATTTTTAGGAATACAGACACATAATCTGTGGCACAATAATCATAAACTTCGGGGAGACGCGTTGCCTCCTCTATCTCTACGTGAGATAAAACATATTAACTTGAATATCAAAAATTTTATTTTCTTTCCCTTGTTTAAATTATGAAATGTTGAAATTAGAAACAAAAATACACAATGGAAAATGAAAAAGCTTTAAATAATATTTATTATCATACTTTTCAATATCATGTATCTACCAATATGTCTTGTTATCGAAAATTTAAAACAATGTAAAACCCATTTTTCGATGACAGAGAGAATACATTTTCATTGAGAGTCGTTTCAATCTTCTCTTATTTATTTTATCAAACAACTATTTATCTAATAATGATAAGTTGGATATCGAACTCATGAGACATTAGATAAATTAATTTTTATATATTTTTGTTTCTTTGTATTATAGACTATAATCATGTAAATTCAATACAGAAACGTTTATCAAACTAATTACTACAAACAACTTATTAAATATGTTATTAATATGTAATTTAGATATCAAGGATCATAATGGGGTGGACCGAAATTTTTTTGAAGAGGAAACCATGCACAACACCACATTGATTCAATATTGCGATAGATTGAGTCTTGAATAAAATATACGAACTAGTCAATATGGTTCCATGAAGAGACTAAAGTATGGAATTCACAAACTCGGACTGTTAAAAATTTAAAATATTTGATAGTTTTTTGAATTTCAATCTCATCGCTAACTCCATCGAATCTTAACCAATTTTGTAAATTTCTATTGAGGTTCCAAAAAGAATAGTATATTAATTTTTTGTAACACGATTTATTCATTATATGGGCATATAATTTTGTTGAGTTTTTCATTGAATAAGAATGATAATTATTGTATTCCCTGCTGTCTAGTGACGTTATTATTTTGTGATTCTACCATTCAAATATTACCAACATTAATGATTACCTTTTTTCTCAAAAAAAATTATTCTTATTATGACGACAACATTAAATTAAGTTCGAAACAAATTACTGCTCTTAGAAAAAAAATCTTTGATTCTGAGATCATCCATAAAACACATTTAAGTAACGGGGTACATCTAAACTTGACATAGCTGAACAAAGAGAAGAAAGTAGACACCTGCGTGACCGCCGTGACTAGAACCTGGTCACGGTCAGTCACGACAAACTTTTAATGTAGACATATGACACGTATTTTTTTAATTTCGTCAGATAATTAAATATTTCATCATGTTTATTATTCTTTCAATAAGTATCAATGTCTTTTTTTTTTATTTTTCTAATTCAAAACAAACAAATATAATCAATACACACTCATAATACCAGAAAACATACATACATTATAAATATATTTTAACGAGACCACATAAAAGTATTTTAGAAGAAAAATGTACTACTGGAACATATTTTCTTTTTCTTCAATAAGAATATCATCAGTTTCATCTACTTTTTGTTTTTCAATATTTTCATCAGATGGTTTATTTGATGATTGATCATTCTTTCATTTCTCTTGATTTTGTTCATTGCCACCCGTTTGGTTATCAAATATGGCTTTAAGAATATTAAGATTTTTTCTTAAAAACATTAATTTATTAATCTTTTCCATTCCTAATCTTGTTCGTTTATCTGTTATAGTATATTTAGAAATGGAAAACAATCTCTCGACTGTCGTGTTTGATGCAGGAATAGCAAAAATGTCACGTACGATAGTTGAAATAATAGGAAAAGATTGATTATGATATGACCAAAATCCCAAGATATCATCATTTTCTTCATCATCTAATGTTAAAATCGAAGACATCCATGAAGCAAATTCATCAACAGTAAATGTTGGTGATCGAGGATCATCAAAACATAAGGATAAAAGATTTTTTTTTCGTATTTCTGTTGTTTTCTTTTCTGATGATGATGTCAGAACAGACATCATAATTGGTGTAGAAGATGAATCAAATGAAGATGATGATTGATTTGCTGTTGTACGTTTGTGAATTTCTTTTTGAAGTACTTGCATTGTTCTACTTTTATCAGATGGATTTTAATCAAAATGTTTGAGTTGTGGATGAAGAATGGTGGCTAGTAAATGTTCATCTTGAGATATCCACATGGTCTTTATTTGATCATCTAAACGAAAATAAAAAGATTACTGTAGTGTACTTGAATGCGAAACGATCTGCTCGATCTAAAATACATGAAAATATCAATGCGGATAACTACCTATGAATTTCTTTATCGAAATCAGACCACCTTCATCATCCTTATGAATGACACAACAATTGATAAGATACTGACGAAGAGGTGCAACAAGATGAATTGTTGGACGTTTTTCATCACTAAGTTTCTCAACAACTATATCAAAATATATAAGAAAATCACATAGTTGATGTAATAGTTGCTTGTTGATGAGAGAATAAGAAAGAAGATGATTTGCATTAAGTGATTGTGGTATCTCTTCAAAAATCTCATTGAAAACATAGAACATAATAAATGCCCCATTAAATCTAGTTTTAGAAAAAGACTGTAATTTTTTCGAAAGCTTATTTTGTCGATATGCACGTCGAACATATTCGATGATTTCTTTAATCAAGTTGAATAGCTTTTGTGTTTCTTTTAATTCTAATTGTTTTTCATCTGTAAAAGTTTTCTCAAGTATCTTGTTGAGATAATGCTCAGAACAACCTACGCGTTTTAAATCAACAAATGCTCAACGCATTCTATTTTCATTGTCTGAAACAACATATGATGATGATGTATCAAATGATAAACCAAATTCAGCAAGAATAGAATTAACGAATCTTCGAATATTTGGACTTGTTTGATTTTCCAGTTCATAAGCTCAACAACAAAGTATAAATGTATTAAGTTTAAATTGTGTATTAACATGATGAAACGATATACCAGCATAATGAACACCTGAAAAAAGAAATGTTTAAGAAAAAAAATATGAAAAAATTCGAATAATCTGTGAAAGATGCTTGCTGTAATTCGCTTTGAACAGCTTCCAAATGCATAATCTCTCGGAAATAAAAAGCTGTTATATGGTTTCCCTAATCAAAAATCCAAAATCAGTTTTGGTTTAAAAGAAAAAGGTTTAATAGTCCACTCGATAAGAATAGCTAAAAAACTGGAAGTTTTTCTGGAAATCATTATAACATGATATTTGCATTTACAATTTGCACGTGAAAAATACAAGATGCATGTACTAAGAGAAAGTTACCTGTAAAATACCCTTTCCAAAAATCCACCGTTATAATAAATGATTTGATGGTTTGAAATAAACTTATTAATTGACATTTACGTTCATCATAAATTCGATCTATATGTCGACTTAACTAAAAAAATAAAAAATCGGTAGAGATAAGCACAAAGAGTTTTAATTTTACTGTTTTCGGATCAACAATTAAATTG